GTAGATTATGACTCAATTGGGGGAAAGAGCTGAGGGGCGGCATTTCTTTTTTTCTTTTTTTCTGAGATGGAGCCTCGCTCTGTCACCCAGGTTAGAGTGCAGTGGCGCAATCTCAGTTTACTGCAACCTCCGCCTCCCAGGTTCAAGCAATTTTCCTGCCTCAGCCTCCCAAGTAGCTGGGATTACAAGCGCCCACCATCATGCCTGGCTACATTTTGTATTTTTAGTAGACGCAAGGTTTCGCCATGCTGGCCAGGTTGGTCTCGAACTCCTGACCTAGGTGATCCGCTCGCCTCAGCCTCCCAGAGTACTAGGATTACAGGCATGAGCCACCATGCCTGGCAGGACTGCCTTTCTAACTAGATGCCAGTGCTGCTGGGCCTCAGGCCGCACTTGCAGCAGCAAAGCCTTAAAACATTCCTATAAGCTAGAGATTATTTTTACTATTCCCATTTCATAGGATGGGGAAACTGAGGCTCAGAGCAGTAATGACCCCTGCCCAAGGGTCACACTGTTGATAAGTGACAAAGCCAGGATTCAAAGTCAAGTGTGACTAACTCGAAAATCCCCATTCCATTTGTGACACTACCCATTCAGAAATACCTCCTTCAGGAAACTTCTCCAATGTAGGAGTCCCTGCTTGCTCCTAAATCAGCTTCCTTCCCAGCTGGATCTGGGCCCTGCCAAGTCTGGTGGCCTAAGCATGGTGCTATTTGTTAGTTGCCCACTGATGCCTTTTTTTTTTTTTTTTTGAGATGGAGTCTTGCTCTGCTGCCCAGGCTGGGGTGCAGTGGCACGATCTCAGCTCACTGCAACCTCCACCTCCCAAGTTCAAGCGATCCTCCTGCCTCAGCCCCCCTAGTAGCTGGGACTACAGGCATGCGCCACCATGCCCGGCTAATTTTTGTATTTTTTTTCAATAGAGGCGGGGTTTCACCATGTTAGCCAGGCTGGTTTCGAACTCCTGAATTCAGGTGATCCACCCACCTCGGCCTCCCAAAGTGCTGGGATTACAAGTGTGAGCCACCGCACGCGGCCTGTTGCCTTCTTTCTGGGCAAAGGGGCTTCTTCCAAGAGAGGCCAGAGCTTGGGGCTGGCTCTGCTGTGCCAAAGAGGTTTCTGTTTGTATTCCCCGCTGGTGGCCATTATTTAGAGCATGTCATACGCTGCCTTGGTGGCTTCTGAAGCCGTTCTGATTCCTCCACATTGCTCTTTGCTGGCTGCAACACAGCAGACCCCTCCCTCCTCCCCTGCCGCCCTCCATCTTGTCCACACATGCCTGGCCTCTGGCGCACACACGCATGCATCCCAGCTCCCTCCGCAGCCGACCCTCCCTCCCCCTGCTGGCAGGAAGGCTGAGCTGGGGCATCCGGGTTCCCACAGCGGATGGGGCGCAACTGGAAAAATCAAGCCCTGGGCTGCTGTGAGTCCATTTGCTCTGAGGACACAATTGGGTCGGCCACCTGCAGGCATCCCGTGGGTAGGAAGAGCCCACTTTCTTGGAGGGGGAAGGCCAGAGCCTTTCTTCTGCCTGTTCCTCTGAGCTGCTGCTGCTGCTGCCCCTCGGAAACCATACCGGCCTCTTTCTTTCTTTCCTTCTTTCTTCTGTCATTCCCCTTTGCGGCTGGCCAGGACCATGTCCACATGGAAAGGGCAGAGCTATTAGAAACTATCTAACTGCCGAGAGTGGTGGCTCAGGCGTGTAATCCCAGCACTTTGGGAGGCCGGGTGGATCACCTGAGGTTAAGAGTTCGAGACCAGCCTGGCCAACATGGCGAAAACCCATCTCTACTAAAAATATAAGAATTAGCCAGGCATGGTGGCGGGCGCCTATAATCCCAGCTGCTTGGGAGGCTGAGGCAGGAGAATTGCTTGAACCCAGAAGACGGAGGTTGCACTGAGCCAAGATCATGCCACTGCACTCCGCCTGGGGTATAGAGCAAGAATCTCTCTCTAAAACAAACAAACAAAAAGAAACCATCTAACGGTCCATACCCCATGTTACACAGGGGAAAAACAGAGGAGGCGAGTCACCTGCCTTAGCCACACAGCAAGTGAGTGGCACAGCTAGGACCCAAACCCAGTTCTCCAGGCTCCGTGGCACCCACCCTTTCTGGGCTCCTTGGAAGTCACATAGGGAGACTACAGGGTGCTCCCAAAGTTGAGTCAGTCTGGATATGAATCCTGGTTCACTAGCTGGTGGCAGGGGAGTTTCTCTCTCTGAAACTCAGTTTTCTTGTTTGTAAATTGGGGCCAAAACAAACACATCCTGCCAGGCTGTTATGAGGATGAAATTATATGATATATGCTAGGTACCCGCTCAAGACCCAACCCAGAGTGGATGCTTAACAAATATTCTCTCTCTTCTCCTGGGTTTTCAATGAGCTCTCACCATCCTCACTTGCTTATAAAGATGTAAGTTCAGGTGGTTTTTAGTCATGCATGTCTGTGCATGCATGGGTGTGGATGTGGGTGTGTTTGGGCTGGGGGATCAGGTTGAGGACACAGCGTGTTGTCTTAGCAATGATTTGCAAGGAGAGAACACCTCCCTGGGTCTGGGGAGGGAGAAACCCCATCCCGCCCAAGAGAAGGAGGTGCTGAGGCTGCAGAGTAGCCCAACCGCCTCAGGCCCCCATCCTCCCACCCCTGCTTCCCTATACGCAGCTCAGTTTTGCCCCAAGAGCTCTGCCCTTCTTCAAGTCCCCCCAGATAACCCACTCACGCATTCGTGAGCAGTGTAGACTATGCTGCAGATCCATGACTGGGACAGAAGAAGGGTTTTTACATCACACACATCTCAGCAAACAGCCTAAAATCCCCTTTCAATGCCTGTAATCCCAGCACTTTGGGAGGCCGAGGCGGGCAGACCACTTGAGTTCAGGAGTTCAAGACCAGCCTGGTCAACATGGCGAAACCCTGTCTCTACTAAAAATACAAAAACTAGCCCGGTGTGATGGCGCACACCTGTAATCCCAGCTACTTGGGAGGCTGAGGCAGGAGAATCGCTTGAACCCAGGAGGTGGAGAATGCAGTGAGCCAAGATCACACCACTACACTCCAGCCTGGGCAACAGAGCAAGACTCCATCTCAAAAAATAAAAATAAAAATAAATTTTAAAAAAGAAAAAGAAAAATCCCTACATTTCTATATAGAGAAATTCTCTTCTCACGGATCCTTCTTGAACACACTGCCACCCAAAGGGGTGGGGACGGGGATGGGGATAAGAGGAAGCTCCACTCCTGGCACCTTCCCTTCCAAAACCAACCTCCCTGACCAATCCCTAGGCTTGGCCAGAGGGCCCTGTAATTTATCAGGACTCGACTTTCTTAGAAGCCACTTAAGCAACATTTAAAGAAGACATCTTTGGCCGGGCACAACACTTTGGTAGGCCAAGGTGGGCAGATCACGAGGTCAGGAGTTCGAGATCAGCCTGGCCAACATAGTGAACCCCCTTCTCTACTAAAAGTACAAAAATTAGCCAGGCATGGTGGTGCACGCCTGTAATCCCAGCTACTTGGGAGGCTGAGGCAGGAGAATCACTTGAACCCAGGAGGCAGAGGTTGCAGTGAGCCGAGATCGCCCCACTGCACTCCAGCCTGGGCGACGGGGAGACTCTGTCTCAAAAAATAATAATAATAAAAAACACATATTTCCCCTCACCCCTGCCTCAAGCCGGCTCTGCCACCTGCCTGGCCCATGGCTGGGTCCTGAGGTCACAGAGCTGGGTCCTGAGGTCACTAGCTGCCTATTTGAATTTGGATAGAAAAAAAAAACTGTTTTACTTCGCAAAGACACTTTGTGAAGGGCTCCCCAACACCTCTGGGTCCTCATTCAGGTGCTGCTCCCCCCACAAACACATGTAACCCTGGCCTCTGCCCTTAGCTGCCTGCCCCCCTTTTCCCCCATCCACCCCCAACTGTAGGAGCCCTGGCCCTCACCTTCTGTGTCTCCCTTTTCATTACCATATTCTTTTTTTCTCCAGTCCTGTTTTTCAGTCCTTATCCGGAAGGGTTTCTCTTCTTACTTTGTTTTCTTTGCAATGTGCCTGTTCCTTCCTTTTGGACCACAACCCCATGTTTATTCACTTAATGAGCTTCTATTGGCAGCCTACTGTGTCGCTGGACAGCTAGGATAAAGAGAAGACATGTTTTCTTTGTAAAGTCCCAGTCCCTGCCTCATGACCCATGGTTCATGGTGGAAGCATATGTATACACCAATATTTATTATAATATCATGCGTTGAATGTTTATTATAGACGCCAGAAACCTATCTAAGTGCATTGCCTGAATCAACTCATTTAATCCTCACAACAATCTTAGGAGCTTGGCATTATTACCATCCCTGCTTAACAGATGGGGAAACTGAGGCACACAGAGGTGAGATACATTTTTTATTGCACAGCTAATAAATGCTGCAGCCAGACACAAATCCAAGCCATGTGGTTCCACCTAACCACTGTACCACACTGCCTCTCAACGTGCCCAACGGCCCCAAAGCGTAGACGAGAGAGCTCGTAATTTTGCCTAAGGAAGTCAGGGAAGGCTTTACAGAAGAGAGGACTTAGAGCTGGGTTTTGAAGGATGAAGAAGAGTTTGCTGACTGAAGAATAGGAAAGACATTTCAGTAGGAAGCTCTGTATTTCAAAAGTCAGCAGCATGAAATGACACGTCATGGGAAGTTTGCTGTGATGGGACAAGAGAGAACATGTGGACTGGGAGCCATGGGAGCTGGAAGAGGGCAGAGGCCAAGTCACACAGGGCCCTCTGTGCCTGATGGCATGCTGGAGTTTGGCCCTGGAGGCACTGGGGAGCTCCTACAGGGCTGTGAGCTGGGCAGTGGTTTGCTCGCTGTCTCTCTCTCCCTGGGATTGCAAAGCAGCCCTCCTCTAAGGCTGTGTCCATAAACCCCAGCGCCTCGGGGCTGCTCTCCCACCTGCCTCTGTGCGCCTCAGTCTCACAGCCATGCCGTTCTCTTTCTCCCTGACTCTCTGTGTTCCACAGGGGCCGTGAGGGCCTCAAGCATTTTCCCGATCCTGAGTGTGATTCTGCTTTTCATGGGTGGCCTCTGCATCGCAGCCAGCGAGTTCTACAAAACTCGACACAACATCATCCTGAGTGCCGGCATCTTCTTCGTGTCTGCAGGTAACAGCCACTGATCTGAGTGGGCTGGAGTCCAGGCCTGCCACTGGGAAGAAGGCTGAGGTCTGGGTGCTTAGGGGCCACGAGGGCCTGGCAGAGAGAGATGGGGAGACAGGAGAGGAATCTCCAGGACTTGCACTAGGTCATGTTGCAGGGGAGAAAGGTTGTGGTGGGGGCTCCTGTCCTGTAGCAACGCCTGAGCCTCCACCAAATCCTCTAGGAGCGTCCCCATACCCCATCCCTTAGCCCAGTGGCCCATCTTCTTCCCACCACTTGGAAAAAGGCCCAAATCCCCGCTTCCTCTCAGGATACTTGGCCAATTGCCACTTGCCCTTCTCCCTCCTGGTGCAAGTAAATCCATGAGGAGGCTAGAGAGAGGGCACCCAAGTACCTCGCTGTTCCAACCCCTATGGGATACTCAGCTTCACCTTGGAAACCGAGGGTGGACACTCCCCTCACTGTTCCACCCAGGTGGGAGCAGGCAGGCACCCACATCCAGATGTCTGAGCCCAGTTACATGACAGATGAGTCACACTCACTTCAGATGCCAGAAAAAGAACCTGGGTGTAGCCTGAGCCATTTAATAAGAATGACCAACATCAGGCCGGGTGCAGTGGCTCATGCTTGCAATCCCAGCACTCTGGGAGGCTGAGACAGGAGGATTGCTTGAGCTCAGGAGTTCGAGACCAGCCTGGGCAACATAGCGAGGCCTCAAGACCATGTCTCTACAAAAAATTTTTTCTTTTAATCAGCTGGGCGTGGTGGCACATCCATAATCCCAGCTACTAGAGAGGCTGAGGTGGGAGGATCGCTTGATCCCAGGAGTTTGAGACTTGCAGTGAGCTATGATCACACCACTGCACTCCAGCCTGGGTGACAGAGCAAGACTCTATCTAAAAAAAAAAAAAAAAAAAAAAAAAAAAAAAAGAACCACCACCATCTAAGAGTACTCACATGTATTCACCCTTTTAACCTTCTCCATGACCCTAAAGAGTAAGGCTTACCCTGACTCCCATTCTACAGATCTGGAAACTCAAACCAAGGTTAACTTGCCAAGGTTTTGAACGCTGGCAGCCTGGCTCCAGGAGCCCACCTTCACCCACTGCTACACCAGCTTCAAAGCCCTGTGCAGCCTTAAGCAAGTTCCTTAACCTCTCTGTGCTTGTCTCCTCATCTGTGCCCTGCTTGAGAAGCACCAAGCAGTGAAAGCAGGTAGTGAAGGCTCAATGAACAGTATCAGTTACTCAGCACCTTGTGAAATGCCTCCCTTCTCCCGCCCTGCCCATGTCTGTTTCCATTAACGCTTCCCTTGTGGCTCTCTCTGAATGGAAAGAAAATGTTAAGGGGAAGCTGGCAGATGTCCCTCTACATTGCCCCACCTGTTCATGAAAATGCGGGACCCGGGAAGGCCCACAGAGCTGTCCCTGACCTTTAGGGCTGCCCAGTGGCCGACTTCCTGAGAAACTAACGTCCTTCTCTCTGATCCCCCCACCCCGCCACGCTGCACCCCGCAGGTCTCAGTAACATCATTGGCATCATAGTGTACATATCTGCCAATGCCGGAGACCCCTCCAAGAGCGACTCCAAAAAGAATAGTTACTCATACGGCTGGTCCTTCTACTTCGGGGCCCTGTCCTTCATCATCGCCGAGATGGTCGGGGTGCTGGCGGTGCACATGTTTATCGACCGGCACAAACAGCTGCGGGCCACGGCCCGCGCCACGGACTACCTCCAGGCCTCTGCCATCACCCGCATCCCCAGCTACCGCTACCGCTACCAGCGCCGCAGCCGCTCCAGCTCGCGCTCCACGGAGCCCTCACACTCCAGGGACGCCTCCCCCGTGGGTATCAAGGGCTTCAACACCCTGCCGTCCACGGAGATCTCCATGTACACGCTCAGCAGGGATCCCCTGAAGGCCGCCACCACGCCCACCGCCACCTACAACTCCGACAGGGATAACAGCTTCCTCCAGGTTCACAACTGTATCCAGAAGGAGAACAAGGACTCTCTCCACTCCAACACAGCCAACCGCCGGACCACCCCCGTATGAAAACCGCGGGGCCTCGCCAGCGCCGGGGCCGAGCCGGGAGGAGGGCGCGGTCCCCGGGGGCGGGGCGGGGTGGGGCGGGGGCACCCAGACCATCCGCGGGGAGACCTCCCAAAAGCGAAAAAAAAAAAAAAAAAAAAAAAAACCACACACACACACACACCACAAAAAAAGAGAAAAACATAACAAGTAAATTTTAAAAAAAAGAACAAAATATAAGAGGAACAAAGCAGCAAAACAACAGGAAATGTGGGAAAACATAAACGAAGGAAGAAAAACAAACTCTAAAAAAAAGCGAGAGGGATAAAAAATTAAAAATAGAAAATAAATCTAAAAGAAAATGCATGATTTCCCATGTACCATTATTTTAACATTTAATAAAAATCAATTTAAATGAAAAAATAAAAGGGAACCAAGATAACATTAAAGCAAAAAAAAAAAAATGTGAACAGAAAGGAAAGGGGATGTCCTTTGTATTTTTCAGGGTTTATGTTACTTTTTTTTTTTTTTTTTTTAACGCCGGGAGAGTTATTTTTCTGTTCCCTTTAACCCCCAGCGGGCCCTGCCTCCCTGGGAGAGTGGGGGGCGAGACTCAGGGGCCCTGGGGCCAGGTGAGCCTGCAGTCACTGCCAGGTCCCTGGAGCCCCTGGGTGGGTGCCCCAGGAATGCGGGGAAGGCTCAGGGCTCCAGCCGGCTCCGCCCAGCATTGATGGGGCAATTGTAGGCCTCCAGGTGACCGAGCCCTTGTCCCTCCTCTCCGTTAGGGTGCCTGGAGGGGGGTACACTTGGGGCTTGCCTGGCCCCAGGTTCCCAGTCCTTAATGGTCCTTAACCCACTGTGATGACTTCCTAGGCCTTGAGGAAGGGGAAGGAGAGGGGAGGTTGCCGGTGGCTTACCAAGATGCTGGAAACCCTGGGGTCCTCAGGGTGAGCCTCTTGGGGTCATGTCCCCAAGCTCCTGTCCTTGGGGTCAGGAGACGCCCAACCCCCGGGGGACGTGAAACAGCTCTCCCTCCTCACCCCTCACCTCAGGGCCGCCTGATGACCCTGGGGTGATGGTGGACCCCCAGACTCATAAGCCCCCCAGTTCCCTGGGAAGGGGGTTCATTGACCCTTTGGGGGTCCTTGGACTCACTGATGCCCTCTTGGGGCCCAGCGGGTTCAACAATGACACTGCAAAAAGGTTTCTTTTTACAAAAGAAAAAGGAAAAACAAGTGGTGATTTTTTTTTAATAAAAAAACCACAGACTATAAATAAATGTAAATATAAAATAAGTGGATTTACTTGCAAGAAAATCAGATAGTATTTTTCTTTTAATTCTTTTCCAGCTTTAAACTGTGAAAACAAAAAATGGGGTGGGGTGGGGGACTTAAAATTTAGCAGGGAACTTGTAAAGAAAAAAAAACAGAAAACGAATATACAAATCCATTTACAAAAACAAAGCAAAACCGTCGTGAGAGGTGAGAGCTGGGCTTGAAGGTTGGAGGGAGTAGGGGAAGGTCCTAGTGAGCTGTAGGAGGTCTCTGTGGTGGAAAGGTGGCTTCCTCAGACCAGGAAGGTGCTGTGAATGGGGGAAGACAGAATCCAACAAAGAAAGAGACCACACGCCCCACGCGCACGCATGCATGCACGTTCACACACACATACACAGTCCACTTAGCCCAGCACCGCAGTCACTCACAGGGACACACTCAGTCTCAACCCTTGCATCCCATACATAGCCAGGGGCGTGACTCAAAGGAAATTGACTCATGCCCTCCACAGCCATGGACTACAACAACTCCACACTGGCCTTTGTGTTCATTCACACCCTTCCAACACAGCACACACATGAACACACACATGCACGCATACACACACACACACACACACGCACACACCACTCGAATGCATGGGAAGGGCACCCGTCTAGAATCTAGGACTGGATTCTGGAATTCCTTGCTGCATGGCCTCTCTGGCCCTTAATTTTCCCCCCATGTAAGCATGTGGATTGACCCAGATAAGCCCTACAGGCCCATTCTTGCTCTATGTATCTGTGACTTCAGATCTGCCACCTGCCCCAAGGATATGCCAGGGATGACCAGGACAGCTGCCACCAGGCCCCCAGGCTCATCATCAGTCAGCCTCTCAGACATACACACACACACACACCATATACCTCCTCACTGTGCTCCCCAAACCCCTGCCCCACATCCAATGTCAAAGCAAAAATACACACATGTGAGCAAACATAACGCTGTTCAGGCAAAGAAGGGAAAGACACAGGGGTCCCCAAAGGCCTTCTTCACTTTGTGTCCCCTTGCTGCGATCATGGAGAGTTAAGGAGGCTTCCTTGGAAGAAGAGATCTGCCACCAGAGCTTTCCCAGTATCTTTGGAGATCTGTGAAAAAGAGGATCCTCTGAGGTTTGCTGGGAGGGCTTAAGGCTGAGGGGATGGAGAGGAAAATTTTAGCAGTTCCGTCCCAGTGTAAGGACCAACCCCAAAAGTTAAACTTGCACCACAGACTAAAGGCCAGGGGCATCCTTTGTTTCTCCCCTTTCTTCCCCAGAGTGACAAGGGCCAGTTCAGACTGTCAGAAATCCAACAACTTTCCTGAACTGGAAATTTCAAAACAGGCTGCAAGTCACTCCCAGGTGACTGAAGGTCAAGGTGAGGCCCCCTGCCTCTGCCTGTGAGTCTCCCTCGGTTTGCATCTTTCTTAACACTGGCATTTCCTGAGGTTGAGCTCTCTGGGGAGTTCTAGAGAATGGCTCGCAAGGCTTTTTGAGCTTGCACATCTCACCTGCCTTTCCTGTCTTTTGCCTGGGAAAGGAAAGTTATTTTTCCAGGTCAGCACAGGGCAGAACATCGGCCAGCCCAGCCCAGAAGTGCAGGGGGAGGTCATGGGCCCTAGGGCAGAACGATGGGAGACAATTCAAGGTGTGGTAACCACCACCAAGTTGTCCTCAGTCTGGGCAGAAACTCAACTCTACCCTTCTCCCACCCCAATCTTGCCCGCCACCCCGCCAGATTCCAGACCTAAAGGGATCAAGGACAAGAGCCACGGGAGAATGGAGAGGCCCCAAGGAAACAGCACCCAAGTGGGTACTGTCTGAAGAGAAAAACTAGCTCCGATTTTCTGAATTCCGACAGAGCGTTTGGGAAGGCAATCAGTGCTTCCTTCCATGGTGCGAGGCCTGGGTTCTGGGTCTGCGGGAAGAAAGCCACTGGGGTGTGGGTGACATCGTCGTGGCTGAGAAGGGGCTAGGGGGTCCGGAGGGAAGGAGCCAGGACCGGAACTGCAAGGGTGTTGCTTCCCAGGGTGTGGATGATTGCTCATGTCCAGCTCAGACCAGTTCAAGAAACTAACCTCCATTTATTTTCTTGGTGGGTCTTTTTTTTTTTTTTTTTCAGACTGTTAACAGAAAAAAAATTTTAAAAAGCAGAAAACTGAAAAAAAAAAATCCTGGTACATGAAATAAAGATTTTTTTTATAGCTTTTGGTCCTCACTTCAGTGAATTTCTTTAATTCCTTCCCCAACTCCTGGCATCCTATTCAAAACAATCCTAAAGCTGTAGATTCTTGGGGATGGGAGCTTTAGATGCTGGGCAGTAGGGCGTCCCCCCAGCCTCTAGATCATGAGTTCCCTATTAAATATCCTTTAGGGATACTTGCACGCCTCCAGTGACAGAGGGCTCACCCCCTCCAAAGATAGCACCAGCCAGCGCTGAGCAGCACTCTTTGGCAAAAGTCTTCTCTGCACACTGAATTTTAATCCACCTCTTCCTTCACACTCCAACAACACTGAATAAATCCCTTCCCTTTTCAGCATGACAGCCCCTCAGATATTTGAAGACAGAGAGCATGACGTCCTTGAGTTTTCTCTTTTAGAATAAACCAGCCCTACTCAACATCCCAATTACACTCCAGCATTTCCATTTTCCCCCATGAAAGTGTGCAGTTTGGAATGGACATGACCCTGCCAGTTTACTCAGTGGGGCTCCTTGCAGAGGGGTGCTCCTCAGGGAGAAGGGGAGCCATGGAGTGGCAGAAGAATAGGGAGGGCCCCTGGGACTCTCTTAACTTGAAGAGATGAGAAAGACAAGATGGGATGCTAACAGGAGGATGTGACCTTTGACATCAGAGAAAGGCCCCATTGGAAGGATGACCTGTCATGCCCCGAAACAGCTGTCTAAGATAACAGCGCTATCTAAGATGCGGGCGGTTGGGGCGGGGGGAGCATATTCACTGTACAGCTCTCCTGGGGCTCAAGAGAAAGGAGATGGCAAGCAGATGACACCTGCACGCTGCGCAGACCTAAGAGAAGGTAAGCCCTGTACCACGCGGCCCGGAAAAGTCTACTCCAGAAGGGGCCAATGTTCAAAACTCCCTGTTCAACTCAGCCTCAGTCTGCTGGGGCCACACCGCCAAGCCCCCACCAATCTCAATTATCTCTCTCTCTCTCTAGCCTCACCCCTAACACTTGTGGGGTCCAGGGCAAGAGTAGAAAGGGAGGCTCACTCTCCATAACTTAAGTCTGAAGATTTCACAGCTGCACATCAAACTAACCACCTTAAAAACATGGTTTATCAGCCGGGCGCGGTGGCTTATGCCTGTAATCCCAGCATTTTGGGAGGCCGAGGAGGGTAGATCACAAGGTCAGGAGTTCAAGACCAGCCTGGTCAAGATGGTGAAACCCCACCTCTACTAAAAATACAAAAACTAGCCAAGTGTGGTGGTGGGGGCCTGTAATCCAAACTACTCAGGAGACTAAGGCAAAGAATTGCTTGAACCCAGGAGGCGGAGGTTACAGTGAGCTGAGATCGCACCACTGCACTCCAGCCTGGGCGACAGAGCAAGACTCTGTCTTAAAAAAATAATAATAAAATAAAATAAAATTTTAAAATATGGTCTATCCTCTGTCCTGGCAAATATGTCCTTGTGACAACCTAAAGTGTTAGGTTTGAATTTAGAATTGTCAACCTCCTCTGCGTTCTGCTCCTTAAAGTAGCAGCATGGGGCAAGTCCACCCTGGAAGCCTAGACCACAGCTCCCTGCCCATGACCCACCCCTCTTCCTTTCCCACTTCCAGCTCCACTCAGCACATTCAGGGCATCTCCCACAAAGTGGGCACCCATCCCAGCCTGCACACCCAGCTTCCCCAAAACCACTGCTTAAGGCAGGAGGACACAGATCCTCAGGAGGACAGATGGCAGCTAGCCCTGGAAGCCAGCTTGGCAGGACTCTTGGAGCAGAAATTCTAGACTAGCAAGCATCAGACAAGTGTCTAGAAGAGGGTAGGGCCTGGGGTGAGCACATCGCCTTGGCCTGTGAATTCCTCCCCACGTGGGAAAGGGCTTGGTCTGAGAAGGGCCAGGGCAGGATCCCCTCTTGCTCTTGTCTAAGGCCAACACAGCCTCTCTCTGGCTTTGGAATGTAGATTTTAACACTCAGAGCCCAGTTTAAGGACTGACTCCCAGAGAGTCAGTTACAGGCTATGGAGCTCAGAAGACCTCTCCCTTCATGGAAGAAAGTCACAGTTGGAGGCCAGCAAGGGCAAGCGATGTGTCCAGGCTTGCACAGTGAATCAGCTTCAAGCAGGCACGAGGCCCAAGCCTCCAGACCTTCCAGCATCCCTGGTCACCTGCCTCAGATGGAGGTTTGAAGCATTCCTCCTTCCCCCTCTTCCATTCATGCTTCAGGCTTAGCGATTCCTCTTTGCAGTCATGCTGACCTCACCAAATCCAAAAACTTCAAAGCATCTGCAGGGAGTGAGGGAAGGCACTTCTGTCTTGGTGAGTATCTAGACCTGCCTAACAAGGAGTATTGGTTTAGACTGACTTCTAAGGCCGCTCGGTGAAAGCTGGCTGGCAGCCACCAACTGCCTGCTCCCCCAGGGCACAGCTCTGGAAAGAAGCATTACCATCACCAGAGAAACTTAGCCCTGCCTCCCCTGCCCACCACAGACTGGGCAGCCACAGACATGAATCCTTCCGTGTACTGAGGCCAACTCCTAACTCCTATGGGCTCATGTGAGCCAGTTATGTGTATCCCTTCCCAGCTAACTCCATATTCCGTGACGCCACATCAGCAGCTTGAAGCCGGCCATGGTGGGAATATTTACACTGCAGCAATGGGCAAATGCTGCTAATCAAGGCTTACTTTTCCTTTTCTTTTTTTTTTTTTTTTTTTTTTTTTGAGATGGAGTCTCACTTTGTTGCCAGGCTGGAGTGCTGTGGTGTGATCTTGGCTCACTGCAATCTCCGCCTCCCGGGTTCAAGTGATTCTCCTGCCTCAGCCTCCTGAGTAGCTGGGACCACACGTGTGCGCCACCACACTCAGCTAATTTTTGTATTTTTAGTAGAGACAGGGTTTCACCGTGTTGGCCAGGATGATCTCGATCTCTTGACCTCATGATCCACCTGCCTTGGACTCCCAAAGTGCTGGGATTACAGAGTGAGTCACCTTGCCTGGCCCCAGGGCTTTTTTTTTTTTTTTTCCAATGAAGAGTCAGTTGTTAAACATTTGCCAGCATATCACTGCATCACATCCTCTGTGGGAATGGTGTGTGCCCAGAGGCTCACTCATGGACATCTTAGAGACACATCCACACCCCACAGTGCATGTGCATGTGTGTATGGCCACATACATGTTCCCATGTGTGCACATGTGCATGAACACACATACATACACTCACACACACTTCTGGAAGTAGATCCATTCACACAAATATACTCAATCAGTCATCAGCATTTATTGATCACCCGCCCCACCAAGCCTTGATCTTGCTCCCAAGAGTACAGGGATGACAAGGATGTGGACTTCCCTGCAGGAAGCTCTCAATAGAGGCAGAGACAGGGACAGGTAAACAGAGACTGACCAAGAAAGGTGATAATGCCACCACAGGGGGAGAAGGGTGAACGAATGGGGGGCAAGGCACATGGAGGAGGTGACACTGGGGCTGAGGACCTACGTAAGCCACTCCACGTGGTTCTCCACATGCTTAGTCCCTAGGTCCTTGGAGACTCGTCTGTGCACTTCCATGCACAGGCCAGCAGACGGGGTGCACGCTATGTCACAGACGCTCATGTCTATGTGGACACACCAACCACATGTGCATGTGTGTGCACTCACACAGACTCACAACATCCATCAGAACAAGGGAACACAGCACGAGGTCAGATGGCCTCACCGTATCTTTCAGAACAAGGAAACACAGCACAAGGTCAGGTGGCCCATTTTTGTCACAAGGTGCACCCCGCCCTGAAGCAGTGAGCCCATCTTTCCCTCACTCTGGCTCTCCCTCTCTCCAACACTCTCTCTGTCCCCCTGTCTCCCACTCTCTTCTGCTCTGGCTCCCTTTTCTCCCTCCTCCCTCTTCCACCGAGTTACCAGCCTG